CGTGACCTTTCCTTGACCTTCCTTGGTTCAACGTGGTAAACTGAGGCTCACCTAACGACCAATTAAGAGAATCTGTTGTTTGTTGATCACCAAAAAGAGAGAGAGAGAGAGAGAAAGAGAGGAAAAGAGAGCGAGAGAGAAATAAATGAGAGAGAAGTATGGATGAAGAGAGGGGAAGAGGGAGAGGATGGGAGAAGGTGGAGGAAGACGAAGTGGGGAGGGAGGAAAAGGAAGATGGAGCAAGAAGGTGTGGATGGGGAGAAGTCAGGATATATTCAGTGGAGGACGAAGCTGAGGAGGAGAGAATGAGGGAGAAAGGGAGAGGAGGAGGAAAGGGAGGGAGGGAGGGAGGGAAGGAGGGAGGGCGGGCAGGCCAACCATTTACATACTGCAGCAGATGTAAGCGGTAGTTTGGGTGGCTTCACTGTGCATTGGAATGGGTAATGTATAAAATATGAGGTGGTTAGGTGCTAAGTGACACTCTTTTGTATACATTGGCACTGGTAACCAACCCTGTATGACACCCGTGATCACCTCAACACCGTAAAGTAAAACAAAAAAAATCGATGCAAATTTCTAAAAATATATACTTTGTATCACTTGGTTGCCTCTTGAGTGTGACCCTCTGAAGAAACAAGGTTATATGGGGTCATTTGTGGTTGAGGTCAGTTCAATAAGGTCATGTCATGGGTAGAAAGGACAAATTATGAGTACACTTGGACATTAGAGCGGAGTTAATTATATAATCAGTGATCAGCAAGATGGATGGTTCAGCTTCTTGTATTAATAAAAAAACATTGAAGCTACAACATACAACGTTAACTCTGTGACATATAAACAACTTTTTGACATAAATTGAGAAAGTGAACCTCCCTCCTCCCTCCCTTTTCGTCTTCATCACGGTAAAGACTGACGTAGTACCCGATTCTCAGCACCGTGTTTCGTCTTTTGTATTCCCGTCTCCGTATTGTTTAGTTAATGAATAAATAAAGTATTCTAGATGATGTAGTATGTTCTTGGCTTGTTTGAGGAAGTATTATATAGTGTGTGTGTGTGTGGAGAGGAGATCATGTATGTGGATTGCAAATTAGTTTTGAGTTGGGTAAAGGTGACGGATCATTGGCGGTGTGATGAGGGGGGTGGAGGGGACTGCAGACTCACGCCTCCTCTATTTCCAGTTGCGAGTCATTGATTGTAGCCGACCTGACGTTGCATAATTCACCACCAGTCTCTCGCACCAGTTGCTCTTCTTCCTCCTCCTCCTCCTCCTCCGGGTCCTGTTTGCTACTAATGCTGATTATTGTTGTTGCTGCTGTCATTGTTGTTGGCGCTACCTGGTGTTCGGCGAAGCTAAATCCCGGAACCAGACCCGGATTTTCACGCTAGAACTTGAGGGTTTGGCTGAGTTTAGTTTGATTTGATTACAGATTATGTTGGATTAAGTTACGTTAGAAATAAAATAGGTTGTGTTGGAATAGAAGTATATTAGGTATATATTAGGTTAGATTATGGTTGGTTAAGGGTATATTGGACTGAGATTACGGGTTCGTATATTATCGCCTCCTTCCCTGGTGGTGGTGGTGTTGGCACTGTCATTGGTGTCACTGGTGCCACCCGTGAACACAGCTGGCACTGATTTACTATACTACATACGTCTTAACTCTTCCTCTTCACACAAAGGATATTCTCCCTCAAGTTAATTACATCAAGATACATAAAAGACATTGAAGAGAAAAAGAAAATAAGCTGAAATAATTTTCCCCCGTTATTGTTAAACATATTTTCGTACAGTGGATAAAATTGGTTAGTTATCAGTTTTCATCACACGGGCCAAAAGTTCTTGAAAAAAATATTACTTTACAATTATGATGTCAATATTGTAGTTTAAAACAGCTGCAAACTGGAGATAATTTTCTTTTAAGGAGTATTCGTATTTCCACTTAAAGAACATATCCCCGAGAGTGTCATGTTAACAATAAAGCTTAACTGGGCTGGTGGTAATGAACAAGGTTGGTCGTCATATTACTCTCCTCAGTTTTATAGCCGTCAATTGGGGCTGTTTTGACCTGTGCTGCCTCTGTGCCCTCAACCTATTGGTAAGCTGACGTTATCAGCCTTATCGTCACTTTCCCTGCTGGCGGCTTTAGTTACAGAGTATAATACTATCCCGTCTTGGTCATGATCTAACTATGGCCCTCACCCTAGATCAACTACGAGAACTGTGTCGCATCATCCTCTGGCAAATGTTCATATATTGTGTGTTTCCACGTCTATTAACACCGTGAGTTCCGAATACCCTTAGACCCTTGCCAAGATTCTGAGAACTTGTTTCCCCATAGCCTGTGTCATGGTCAGCCCTGAGAAGTGTAGGTGCAGCCTTGTATAATGAGGTCCTTTTCCCACACCCATCACAAGTTTAGTCTATATCCTGTACCTCATTACTGTATTACGTAGTTTTCCTTTATATTAGGGCACATTACGTCCACCTGTCGTTAAGCAGGATATGTCGGTGGTGGCACAAAGGTTTTTTATAATCCCTCCAAATTCCCCTTAACGCCCCGAGGACTGAGTAAACTGAAGGTGACACTTATTTCCGATTGTTATTTTAAAGTTTGTATTTGTTTACTCGTTCGTCCCCACAGGAAGTTTCTGGTCATTTACTGTATTTAATTTAACCTCCTTCTGGTCTATTCTACCTCGTGATATTGTGGATGGTAGAAATGGTGACGGTGATAGGATGGGTGTTGGTGGTGAGAATAACGTCTGTAGGTGGTGCGATGACAGGTAGTGGTGGTGTGTGGATGAAGTGGGTGATAATGTGGGTAATATAGGGTAGGAAGATGACACACTGGGGGGATACGGGGCGTGAGGGTGATGGGGAGGTGGAGGGGGTGTAGGGTGTTGGAGTGGAGGGTGTGGGAGGAGGGGTGTAGGGTGTTGGAGGAGGGTGTGTAGGGGTGTTGGAGGAGGTGGGGTGTAGGAGGGGTGGGAGGAGGGGTGTAGGGGTGGGGAGGAGGGTGTAGGGGTGTTGGAGGAGGAGTGTAGGGTGTGGGGAGGAGGAGGTAGGGGTGGGGAGGAGGAGGGGGTGTTGGAGGGGGTGTGGGAGGAGGAGGGGTGTGGGAGGATGGGTGGGGTGTTGGAGGAGGTAGGGGTGGGGAGGAGGAGGTAGGTGGGAGGAGGAGGGAGAATGGGTGTGGGAGGGAGGAGGTGGGGTGGGAGGAGGAGGTGTGGGAGGAGGAGGGGTAGGGGAGAATGGGTGTAGGGGTGTTGGAGGAGGAGTGTTGGAGGTAGGGGTGGGAGGAGGGGGGTGGGAGGAGGAGGTGTGGAGGGTGTTGGAGGAGGGAGTGTAGGGTGTGGGAGGAGGTGTAGGGTGTTGGAGGAGGGGTGTAGGAGGAGGGGTCTAGGGTGGGTGGGAGTGGGGGTCGTGGACTTCCTCACCAGCGAGGTCGAGGGTGCGCCATCTGACTCACTAACCCACCTGGACAGTAAAGGCACGGCTACCCCCCACCACCACCTCTCTCACACCTTCAGGATGAGAGCTTGACATCTACACCTCATTAAATCTAGGAACGCCCGCTTATTTTACCTGATGGTTAAATATCTTGACATCTACACCTCATTAAATCTAGGAACGCCCGCTTATTTTACCTGATGGTTAAATATCTTCATGGTGATCTAACCGACCCCATTTACCATTAGGATAGTTAAGGTGAAAATAAGCCTGGGTTCCTAATCATGAGATCCTGTAAAGGGCTCAAAACTTAACATTAAGTGCTACAGGGTTGAAAAGGCTTAGATATGGACAACACCAGACCTTACCCCTGTGTGGTTTGACTGACACACACACACAGTCACGCACTTCAGTCTCCCGCCTCCATAAGTTCGTATGAAGAGGTGAGCCCTGCTGCCACTACCACTACTGGTTAGGTTAGGTTAGGGGATAAGGGACCGGCGGGGAAGGATGGGCGGGTCTGAGGGCGGGAGGGGCCACTGTCCTTGCCGAGTTTCGAGAAAATCTGTCTTCACCATCAAGAGTTATTGCGTGCACACGGAGGAGGGCTCCTGACGCAGACACGACGGCGACTCTCAGTATCCCGAGACCTTGTTGGGCCGTATGCTTACATCAGTATTGTCTTGTGGACGCTGGATTGGGGCAGGAGACGAGGGCTAACATCAGTGGTAACGTGAAATATTAACTCAGAAAATTATTATTGTACTTGTTTTTATTTACTCGTCTTTGTAAACCATTTATTATGTATATTACCGATAACAGTATTATTATTATAGGTGTTTTGGACGGAATTTTTAAATTGACTATGGTCTTTTATTTGTTGTAATCGATTTATTATAATTTTAAAGGAATATTGCAATATTTTGAAAATGTATTCAGGGTGTAATTATTTATTTGTGATGAAATGGTCATTAAGGTCAACTATGGTCGTTTGCATTTTACTTTATGAGTCTTTTCCGTGATGTAATTAGTCTCATACTCTGGTGTTATAAATATTATTAAACGGTGTGAACTAGAGGATGTCAACACACCCACACACACACACACCCACTGCCCTTATACAGTGTTTAGTTGTAGTGTCGCTTGAGGGACTAAACATAACTGTAGCTGTAAACTAGACTAAGGTCACCAGGTGTTTCAGAAGAAGCCATTAGTTTTCCGGAAGTATTACCTGAGTATGCGGACACGAGGAGTGATGTCTTAAGGTGGTAATATGAGTCACGCAGCTGACGTCCCCACCTTCCTGTGAATGGTCGTGACGTCAAGGGCATGGCTGCCATCTGCCCGCCGCCTGACACTTGTGCTGTATTTTATTATCTTGAGATTCTTTTCCCTGTTGAAAATCATATTATCACAGTTTTTTAATTCCTTGGATTATCCTGAATGATTAATGAGCGAACTCAAACCTTTAACGTTAACTGTTTTGAATATGTAGCTGTAGTGAAGGTATTTGGCAACGTGCCCTGGGCTACCTCACTATACTGGACACAAGGCCGCAGAGTACTCAAACGGCTCCACGGGGTCGGGTCTGGGGAGGACTTTCTTCTAGTTTGAGTCTTTATGTCGATAACTAACAGTATAACCCCAGTGGTCAAGTGCGAGAGAGTTAAGACATTTGTACTGGAGGGGTCAGGCAGGCCGAGTATCAAGTTGACAGCAGCGCCTAGATTGAACAGAAAGTGTACGTGACGTGGAGGTACAGTGACCGTGTAAGGCTGGCAATATTTAATACTTTATTTGAAAACTTACCAAGTGCGCAGTATATTGACATGAAATGTGCATTTTATGCTAAGAAAACGTGTGTAGAAAACGCGATGTGAAGATAAGCCATACTGTTGCTACCCGGGCGCCCCGAGTGGGAGAGGGAGGGTGCTGTGCCGAGCTGCTCCGAGTGGGAGAGGGAGGGTGCTGTGCCGAGCTGCTCCCCGTAACACAGCCTCGTACACTGGCTGTGCTGACGGCCACACGCACACAGCTGTAGCAACAATTAAACGAAAACAACTGGCCCTGAACTTTCTTCTAGACTGGCCTTTCTTTGTGAGCACCAAGTTAAAGACAATACGACCCAGAGAAGTAGTTCACGTGTCTCGGTTGTTGAACAAACTGTACATGCTTATTATCTAATATGAACACTCGGGAGAAAATTTAGTGTGTGTTGAGTAGTGAGGAGTCATAACGTTAAGGATGGCCATACACAGTGGTGAGGAGGGAGGTGGTAACATCCCTACAGCGAGGGATTCCATAGACGCTGTGTTAGCTGAGATCCACGCCTTCACCACAGACTTCCCACTCCACAGTGATGCAGCTTCTGTGGTAAGTTATACTGTGGTGGACAGGGATATAGACACAAGGGTGATTAGACGAACGTTTTCATTTCTCCTGTTTTGTTATAGTTGTGTTTTACTGCTACTTAACCTAGAAATCGAGACGTTATTCAGCAATGGTGTTACAGTGTCACTAATTCATGGTGTTAGTTCATTATATTAGTATTATGGTGTCACTGCATGGTGTTAGTTCATTATATTAGTATTATGGTGTCACTAATTCATGGTGTTAGTTCATTATATTAGTATTATGGTGTCACTTCATGGTGTTAGTTCATTATATTAGTATTATGGTGTCACTTCATGGTGTTAGTTCATTATATTAGTATTATGGTGTCACTTCATGGTGTTACTTTATGCTATAGTTATTCATGGTGTCACTTCATGGTGTAGTTATTCATGGTGTCACTTTATGCTGTAATTATTCATGGTGTCACTTTATTCACTATTAGTGACCATGGAGGTTGGAATGAAGTGGACATTGAACACAAACTTGATTCATAACTCGAGTACACAAACACTGCAATGGACTCTTGGACTCTAAAGTAGTGTAACATTTGTCATTACCCAGACAAGTCTTTTCTTGGGGTGGGATACGACATTTTGTTAAAGGATTATGTCAAGATATTGTTGATTTCAGTTTTAGTGGGAACATATACATTCGTCTGTGGTGATTGTTTATCTGATTTTCACTGTCTTCTGGTTGGTTAGATTAGATACTGGATTAAAAATAAACTAATGATTTTATGTCTTAATTGTGTAACGTATTGATATTCATATGTTGCAACTATGTAGTTTTACTTGTTAACTGCACTTTTCCTTGGCTCCATCTGCATTATTTTGGCATCACTTTATATTATCTAACCATTTATATGAGTCTTTTTACCCCCTGTTCCACCCTACATGACATGGGAGATGAATAATGATAATATTTGGAACATTAAGTAATGATATGCAGTAGTTCGTACACTTCTGAGAAAGAGAAAGCAACGTCATCCCTTTAACCTTCTATATACTCTCTCCCCACAAAAATGGTCGTGTCCTGTTGTCTTGTGTTGTCTTGTCGTGAATTGTGTTGAAAGTTGTGTAAGTCACCAAGCAAGATGTCTGCCTATGACTCCTTCTTGAGTTGTTATATATTTATACAGTTGGTGGTGGGTGTTTTAATGTGTTAAATCGTCACGTCTTGAAGGAGTGTTTCTTGATGGTCCAGTCTTAGCGCTGACGTAAACCAGTGATGTCATTTTATGGTCTGTGTGTTTATAATGTCATGACATCTTTCATGTTTGTGGTGAATTATGTAAGTTACAGGTCCACAACTTTCGTTTTTGAGTACGGTACTACACACCTAGTAGTGTATATTACTGTATTATATAATATACTGTTCAAAACTCTTACATCAAATTTCTTCAATCTTTAGCAAAGGGAAAGTTGTGTGATCTTTCCTTTTGTCAGTTATTTCTTAACAATATAGTTTTGTGTATTCGTCCTTTGTTTAAATATTGGTATTGTTGTTGTTATTATTATTATTATTATTATTAGTAGTAGTAGTAGTAGTAGTAGTAGTAGTAGTAGTAGTAGTAAACGTAACAGCCATTGTTTTATGGTAATTTAAACATCCTATTATTTCGAAAGTGACATTTAACCTAAGTTTTGTGTCCCTCCCTATAGGGTCTGGAGCAGGTGGGCGGCAATGTGGGCGTGTCGGCAGTCCAACGCCGTGAGAAGCCTCATCCACCCAGGATCGACGCCCATCGCTTCTCCAGGGCCAACCTCGAGGGTGAGTACCATCAAGGTGTACTATATGTCCACAGGTTCACCACTGTCTATATTATTCAGCCATTATTAAGGGCATCATGTATCAGGGACTTGTGCAGTTTCATTTTCTTTTATCACAGAGAAAATAGGAGTAAATATTGTAAAAAGTGTCATGAATGGGATTAAATGCGGGACTTTGAAGGAGTTTAAAGGTGTTAACGTAGTTTTAAAGTGACCAACTGAGTATCATTAAATGCGGGACTTTGAAGGAGTTTAAAGGTGTTAAAGTAGTTTTAAAGTGACCAACTGAGTATCACTTTAATTAAATGGCTAAAAATAACAAAAACAATCATGATAATATAAGTCATTTGCGCGGGAAACGTATAAGAAGAAAACTGTCTTAGAATTGTCTGAAATATTGATTGTAAAGATAAATTCTCTAGATTAGGTTGATAATGATAATGATTATTATTATTGTTATTACTGTATTTACTATTTATAGAATAATTATCATGTAGTTAATTCAGCACAGTTATATTAAAGAAATTAATCTTAGCTTTAGAAATTTTAATAAAAAGTTTACATAATTTTTTGTAAATTGAATATTATGATACAGATTACTAGCAAAGAATTGGTAAAAACAAATGGATTTCTAGATGATTAGGAAGACTAGTACTGTACTGTATACATATTAGTTTGGTTAGGTTAGATTAGATTAGGATAAGTTAAGGTTTGGTTAGTGTGTGTTAGGTCCCACTCCTATTTCACAATGAGATAAATACGAATACCGTTTTAACTTGGTGACCTAACCTAACCTACTCTCCCTACCCTAACCTAACCTACTCTCCCTACCCTAACCTAACCTACTCTCCCTACCCTAACCTAACCTACTCTCCCTACCCTAACCTAACCTACTCTCCCTACCCTAACCTAACCTAACCTAACCCTCTCCCCACCCTAACTCCTAACTCCCTACTCCCCACCCCAACTCCAACCTACCTCCCCACCCCTCCCTCCCCCCTACTCTCTCCCTACCCCCTAACCTAACCCCTAACCCTAACTAACCTCTCCCCACCCCAACCCAACCTACTCTCCCAACCTAACCCACTCTCCCTACTCCTAACCCCAACCTACTCTCCCAACCCTAACCCCTACTCTCCCTACCCTAACTCCTAACCTACTCTCCCTACCCCTAACCCAACCTACCTCCCTCACCCTAACCCACCCTACTCCCTCAACCTACTACCCTACCTACCTAACCTACTCTCTACCTACCCTAAACCCTAACCTAACCTACTCTCCCTACCCCTAACCCTAACCCCACCTCCCCACTCCTAACCTAACCTACCTCCCTACCCTAACCTAACCTAACTCTCCCTACCCTAACCTAACCTACTCTCCCTACCCTAACCTAACCTACTCTCCCTACCCTACCCTAACCTACCCTCTACCCTACCCTACCCTAACCTAACCTGCTGTTGCCAAATACGGAATGACATTATGATCGAAGAATATATAAAACCAGGATTTTATTGGTGAAGACAGATGCAACATGTTTTGCAGTAAGATGCTAAGTAGGAAGGACATGTAGCATGATGTGCACCTATAATGGTGATATATTGCAGTACCTTCCCCCTCAAGGAAGTTGGGGAGGAAGCTAACCTGAAATTGGGTCCCTAAGTCCCTTTGAATTTTGTTTTTGGAATATAATTACCATATCAGATACATTCATAAGACAGCTTTAAGTCCAAGGATATTATCTGAAAATCCTCACCAGATTGACACTACAGCACCTTGTTCTGGTCAGAGGGTAAAAGTGTGAATTTTTCAGTTCGCACACATAAAGCAAATCGACCAAGCCTAACCTACTTTAGCTCTATTTAAGGAAAATATTAATTGAAGGTTATTTAGTTTTTTTTTGCTGTCATAAATTACTTCATTCCCAAACTTCTTGATAAAATTGTAAATGCGAGGCTGCTATACATGCACCTAATGGGCATTTTAACATTACAGTACTGTATATATTAACAGAAGTTCTCAATTTTTGTCTTGCACAATTTAAAGGATTTGTATTCTATGTACTCTACATTACTATGGAAGTTCCCTTATTCTACACCTTTACCTTATATTATACTGTACAGTATTTTGTGTTTGTTTAATAAGTACTGTACTGTATTCCCATTCTGAATTGGAATAATAAATATATACAGTAATACTGTACCATGTACATTATACTAAACTTTGGTAATACTCTACAGAATATTGCTCTGATGTCAGTCTTTCTTATTTATGGCAAAGACAAACTAATTGTAAATAATGAATGTCAACCTCAGATTCTGGTGACGTTGAACTGGACACCATCCTTGGAGAACTGTGTGCCCTGGAGACTCAGTTTGAGTTTGAAATCTCCTCCAAGAGTTCCACTTCGACTTCCAACTTAACCACACCTCCTACCAGAACGACCACATCTGGAACCCACATAACAGGTAGGACAGGACCCTTTAAACTTCTTTTTATGCTGTATATTGAATAAGGAAATGGGAAGATGGACGAATGGGTGATCATCCAGACAGGTTGGATTTGAAGAATGTATGGACATAATTAGATGTTGAGAGATTGACAAAAATGTTGTTTAGGCATTTAATGATAAAGAACTGAGTGATGTAATTTTAAGATTAATTGAAGTATGACGAGTGGAGGAAGTGTTGTGAAGAACCAGTATATCCATATTACTTGTTTTGTGTATAGGTAAAGTCTTATCAGTGTGATTCAATTATATAAACATTTTATAATAAAGATGACTAGACTCATTGGTGAACTATACCCAATAACCTCCTCAATAATTGTTTTAAATTTTACAGATAAAATGCAGCCCAAACAGCAACAGCAAACACAGTTGCATCCACAGCTACAGCAGCGGCAGAGTCACTCCCGCAGTAACTCTGGAAATACAAGACCAAAGTTTGAACCTCTTAATGTGGAGATTGATGTTTCCACCACTAATATGGGTAAGTGTCAGTGCTGTATTCTTGGTGAGACCCTCATAGGTAGTACTGTATATTCACACTCTCCTGGTAAGTTTAATAACATAAGCTCATGATTTATCTTTTTTACCAAGGGAAAGTAATTGTACAGTAATACTGTACAGTAACTAAAGATGGCAGATTGCACCTGTAATACAGTCACACTGCAACAAACTTGGCCCCCACTTAAGGGTGTAAATGCTCTTGGTAAAGTAATTGCTCAAACCATTATTATTATTATTATTATTTATGTTTAGAATATTTTCTGATTATGTATACCAAATTGTTTGAAAAACCTAGAAAATTTAATAACTTTAGACTGTATTGAAATAATGATAATCAAACATACAGCCAAGTACCACTGTGTATAATTATTAGGATTTTTCTTTCATCACTATATTACTTTGTACTTCCTTTTGGGTCCCGAGGACATCATTTTTATATGCAAATTTATTCCTCCATTCTAAAGCGCGGACAGACAGCCCAGACAATGACTCGGCATTTAGTGACAACGTGTCCATGCTGTCTTCAGAAAGTTCAGCATCCAGCGGTGCCTCTGGGAGCGCCGGCTCGAGGCACGATCCCAGCAAACACGTGTCACAGGTCAGTTGCTTTTACATATGATGCTTACTATGTGTGTGAATATTTAATACTAACTGTACTAACTGGGAATTAATGTAAGATATTATATGGGTTCCATGAATGTGGTGTAATATAATAGTTAAAGCTCCCTGTTGATTGTGCATGGTGTTTATTTTGTCACATGTTGTATATACAGTTGTATGCAACTTAGAGATAGAATATGTGGGAGCTAGCTGGATATATAATGTGGGCTTTGACACATATTGTTTGTTAAGGTCTGTAATATTCACTAAAATAGACATTGTAGCAGAAATTGTTACCAGTTCCTTATAAGCATTTATTATGTCAGGGCAGTATCCAGGCTCCCAGCAGCGGTTCTGATCCCTAAATCTTGGGGTGCGCATGCCGCTCAGTAGTGAGGGGGGGAGGGGTAAAAGTGTATCATTGCTTGTAATGTGATCACCTTAATTGAATATTAGCAAACCCTTATAGAATTTTTGTTCAAAAACATTACTTATGACCCGAGCAACCAAATTCAGTGGCATTGAAGCAGATATATATTTTCTAATGGGTTTTTAACAAGTACAGTACATTCAAATCAAGTGTTGCATCATGTTTAGTTTTGTAAAGTTACAGACATTATTCCCCTGGTTGGATACCCAATTGGGTGCCCAAACACATTAATCCTGTTCTGGTGTAAATACTGTACAAACCCATATGTTTTCAAAATTGTAAGTAAAGTACAGTATTATGTTTAGTAAATACTGCAAAATTAATGTTTTATTGTTACCTTATATTTAATGTGGAAAAATGGTATATTAGAAGGAGAGGAGCATGAATGGTAATGAGAACATTTCTTTTCTTTTACTTGCAACCCATCTCCCACTGACTCTCCTTCAGTTGCCGTCATTCATTCATTTTAATTGCCTTACAAGTGTGTACGTTTTTGGTGTCTTCCATCCACAACAAGGCCCTGACACTTTTCTTCTCAATTTCCTTTTAAGACATTGGCAAAATAACCAGAAATTCGGAACTTTATTATGATGATGATGATGATGATGTTATCGAGAAGGAAGTACATTCTGCTACAATGTTGACCTGCAGATTAGAACACAACCTGGGCACAGGTCTCCTCATCATACAAACTAGTATAGCTTTATATAACCATTGTTAACCCAGTATGGAGCTGTATTATGATTATTAAGTTCAGAAGTTTGTTGAGAATTAATACTAAAAACAGTACCTGTGTTGAAAAAATTAATAATATAGTACTGGAGTTAACTGCTTGCATCTGCTTTATTATTTACATGGGTATTTTTTGTCAACTTGACCAATACTCTAATCCAACTAACACTGATGTGCATTGGCATTTTGCCTTTGTACTACAAACAATACTGTATTTGTTCTTGTTTCTCCCCCTGTTGCCTTTGCATGATGCTTGGTTTGCATGATGGTGATGGTAAACAGACCCTTTTCCTGACGTTACCTCAGCTGGCTGACCTGCTGAAGGATTGTGGGTTGGACAAGGTTAGTTGGAAATGCCTCTCAGAGCTCTCCTGTATCTCCCTGTTTACTCCCTTAAGCCTCACCCACAGTAGGAGTTTATCAAATGGAGAATTAATGTTTACACACAAAGTAGAGTAATGCTCTATTGAATGAGAAATCTTGCAGTGCCAATAAGTTTGATAAATAAATTTTGTTTACTGATGTAACATTTTATGTACCTTTTGTTGGCTAGATAGGTCATGGAACTAATAGCTACTACTCTCCTCTTTGAACAGAGTGAGGCAGTTGTTGAATATACCAAAACTAAATAATGAGATATTGTATATATAAATAGCTTAGTGAATGCCAAGAGGGTATTTTGTACAACAGATTTGATCTTGGTTATTGTGACTCATTTCCTTCCTTCTTGGCAGGTGGAACAGGCTGCAAAACTCAAAGCTGAAAAGATAAAAATGGCCCTTGAGAAGATTAAAGAAGCCAATGTTAAGAAGCTGTTCATTAAAGCATTTACATCAGATGGCTCAACAAAATCTTTACTGGTTGATGAGAAGATGACAGTTGTACACGTCACGAGACTCCTGGCTGATAAAAATCACGTGAGAATGGATCCCAAGTGGGCAGTGGTGGAACACATACCAGATCTTTATATGGGTTAGTTACATAAAGAGTTTTTATAGATACACTTCATAAATGATTCATGAAATAACCTAATACAGTATAATGTTGTACTGTACAGGCGTCCCCGGGTTATGAATGAGTTCCGTTCCAGGGGACGTTGTTAAGTCGATAATGTACATTAGTTGAAACACATATCCTATGTGCATACCGCACGTACAGAACAATGTTTAAAAACCCACTATATTATAGCCTAAGTCATTACATACATCTAAAATCATGTAATTTAAGAGAAAATAAAAAATTTTATGACAAAATAGAGGAAATTAAAGTAAAAAAGTCATCAGGTAAATACAATACTGTAAATTTTAACTTTATGGAACCTCGTTCATATCGGTGGATGTTCATAAGTCAGACATTTGTAACCCGTGGACTGCTTGTACTGAGAAAGATTTGTATTTTTATCTGTTTATATAAGTACAATACATTATTGTAGATGTACACCAAAGACACTTAGTTATGCATTATAAAACTACTGTAATATGATGTCATTTATTTCATAGAGCGAATATATGAGGATGATGAAATGCTAGTGGAAAACCTTCTTCTGTGGACCCGAGACAGCAAGAACAAGCTGTTATTCCTGGAAAGACCTGACAAGTATGACCTGTTCCTGCGACCTGAGCAGTACATCCTCATCGGGTCATCTTCACAGAAGAACTCAGATTTGGATGATGAAGGAAGAAGTACACTTATTGAGGTGAGAATCTATTGACTTGTTTGTTCTACCTAAATACTGAATATAGAGCATTACTCTTTTAAACATTACTGTAATGAATTAATGAGGAAAGACTTCAAGAGTATAATTAATATTGCAGTTTTTTCTATTACAATGTTTCTGGCAAATCTTACAATATATTGTGTACAGATTTATTTATCCTAAAGCATAGATAAGGATCTTCAGGTTGAGCACAATACTATACAGGTACATGCAGTCTTGTACTGTATGTATTCGTATATGCTATATTAAACAAATATAAAATTTTAACAAAATATCCAATACATTTCTGAGATAGTGTATTTTATGTTAAGATACAATTTAAGATAATAATTAATGATTATTTTTTCCTCAGGAGTTCTTCTCAAGTACAGGTGTTGGTGTTCCAGAAGTTGAAGGTCCACTTTTCTTGAAGTCTGAAGGGAAGAAGGTGTGGAAAAAGTACTATTTTGTCCTCCGTGCCTCTGGATTGTATTATTGCCCTAAGGGTAAATCTTCTCGCTCCTCCAAGGACCTTGTATGCCTCACAACTCTGGAAGTTAATCAGGTCAGTTACCCACCCATGGTTTTGTGTCCAAACACTTCTTCAAAAAGTTCATTGTTAACTTAAGACTATTTAGAAAATGGAAATGAATATTGACTTCTATTGAATCTTGTTACCCAGAAATATTTATTAAAAAATACCATAAAGGCAAAGGTGATTCATAAAAAGTTGTTTTCCATAGCATGTGGAAGAAAATGTATACTGTATATGCCATGTGTATAAAAGTTGAGGTGCATCTTATTTTGAAGGTTATTCCTTCACTGTTCAATTTATCATACTGGTTTCTGTGCACAGTTCAGGTAATTGCAAAATTATGTTATATATGTCTTGGCTAAACTTGACAAGTAACACACAACTCAGTCATATTATGCCAGTGTATTGTGAGGTAAAGATCATGACTGTAGTGTATAGCCAGTGCCGGATTTAGACCTGTGGAGGCCCCCCTCATTATAACTACCCAAGAGGGTGGGGTGGCGAGTGAAGTGACCTAAACATCTGGGAGTTCCGGGGGGCGCTGTAAGCCCCCCGGGAAAATTTTGAAATTTAAACACTTCTTTGGAGAATTTTGAAGCCATATGCAGTTATATTGAGGAAATTAGAACATTGAGAAATTTTTAATTATCTGTATATTTATTGACAGTGTACAAATTCCCAACACACACACACACACACACACAAGTGAGACATGACTGGAGTCATTCATGTGGTTTCAAGTCGACCAGCCCTGATATAGCTACTACCGCACATGTCAAAAATTTTCAAGAGACTTCACAGAAAAGAATATATTATTAGTTATTACAGAGAGATGATTCTTTGCATTATTATTCAGATAAACCTCTACTCAAATAATGAAAATAAAAATAATCCAAATGAATAAACAAATAAGTTAAATATTGTAATATGTGGAGGCCCCTGGGCAGCTGCCCACTTTGCCCACTCCTGAATCTGACCCTGTGTATAGCATTTTATTTGTTGCCTCCATATAATATTTCTTGATGTTTTTATGTTCATAATGGTAACTGAAGTGAAGTGTTTGCTCAGCTGACATCAATGATCTACCTACAGGTATATTATGGTGTTGGTTGGAAAAAGAAGTACAAGGCTCCAAGTGACTGGTGTTTTGCCATTAAGCATCCCCACTTGCAAGCAAAAAGCAGCAAGTACATTAAATACCTGTGTTCTGAAGACCCAAGAACCTTGTCCCAGTGGGTCATGGGCATTAGAATTGCTAAGGTAAGTTACTTGCAATGTATAATATATAAGTACATTGGAATCAATTGGAAAGTCTACAGATTGATAAAAAAAAAATTAAATGGCCTTGAAAATAGATTAATAACCTACATAATTCATGAGCTTTTCATCATTTGTTTTATCATTTCACTCCCCACAACACTTAAGAAATAAAAAAAACTTTTACTAGTGTTTGTCATTGCCAAAAATCAAATTGTCTCGGATGTAGTGGCTGTAACAAAACCAGTGAGGTTTATCCGAGGTATGTTATTGCATAAAGCTTGACTATCTGCTGATATTATTGGGAAAATGTTATCTTGTAATCACCCCTACCTTTATTCTTAGGAGGTAGGGAAACCCATCCCCTCCTTCTCGTGGTGTACCGTTAGAAAGCATTGTTCCTGTTTTTTTTTTTATTATTATTTATTGCTACTTAGATTGTTCCTTTCATCTGCATCACTAAGTAATTTATTAATTTTTCCTATAGAGTGGAAGAAGATTGCTTGACAACTATCGTGCACTGGTTGAAGACTTGGCCCAAGAGGATATCGACATGTTAGCTTCATCACGTTCCTTCAGCATAGCATCAATGGCAGGTCAGAGTGGTATGGGTGGAGGGTCCCGTGGGGCATCCCAAGCCACTACTCCATCCTCTGAATCCCGTTCCCTAGACTCTTGTTTGGCTCCCAGCCTCACCCCAAGTGTTGCTGATGGGGAAGAAGGTGGGGATGATGCTCAGTCCTCAGCTGGGTCGTCTTCTCAAGATACTCCAGTCAATACACTGGGTCGTCCGCCAGTCTGGCGGCAGGACAGCCTTAAGAGTGGATCTTCCAGTAGTTCAAGTGGTTGTTTAAGTGAACGTTCATCGGCAGGGACACCCACCGGCGAGCATGGATTTGAATCTGAGTTTCCGCAAGGGACAATCAAGAGGAAGCCATCCAACAACCCTAAGCTTCCTCTTACATCAACCACAAGACATCTTGTAAAGGAAGTGGACGGTGAAGATGTTGTAGACTCTGCTTCAGGGCGAGGAACAATTCGTCAGAGTGTGCGTCGCTCTCTGACAGAAGAAGTAAACACGTTACGCAGACGTAATTCCCAGTCACGAACCAGTGTAAGTAGTGGTGCATCGAGTAATGTTCTAAACACTAGTATGTCAAGTCCAGTGCCTCAGGAAGAGGAAATGGATAGTTTACCCTTGCCACCACCACCCCTTGAACTGTCTGAATGTGCTATGGAGTCATTACCACCTCCACCACCAGAGCTCTTGGCATCTACCCTCAGCCTCAATTCACTTCCTCCTCCACCTGATGAAGATTCTCTGCCACCCATTAATCCAGAAGATCTCATGATGGCCAGCATCACCTCATTACCACCCCCACCACCACCTAGTCCACCAAAACCATCTAGTCCACCATATACAGGGGGACCACCACCCCCACCACCACATTCAAATTTACCAACACATACAAGTTGTACACCACACCCCCCACCACATTGTCTGCCATTACCGCCACCCACTACACCCAAGCCAACTAAGCCAAAAGGTGTTGGCTCACCTGTTTATGGTGGCTCTCCTATTTACCAAACTGCAGGCTCACCAGTATATCAAGCTGCGGGTTCTCCAATTTACCAAGCTTCTGGTTCACCTGTTTATCAGTCAGTAACTCCACCTGCTGTAGCACCAAAGCCAAAACGTGATAGTAGTGAGTCAGTAACTTATGCATCGCCACCATTTTTAGCTGAACTACGTGCCCATGGTACCACACAGGCAGCGTCAAGCTCACAACTGCCTGCACATTCATCCAGTCATAACGGTGGCTGGCATCCTGACTCCCCCTTACCACCACCACCACCTTCTCCTCCTCCACACCAACCAGTGTATGCACAGCCACAAAAGAGTCCACAGAAAAAAGTGAAAAGGATTACTTTCATGGATGATGTGCAGAGTATACCTCCAACACCAGAGTCCCCAACTGCAAAGCCTCCTCTCCCAAAACGTTCAGAATCCACCAGACTATCTATAAACCCAGGCCGTTTGGATAGTCCAGGTAACAAGATCACACCACCAAGATCATTCTTGAATAATCTGCAGAGAGTCATGCAAAAAAAGTGGCAAGTAGCACAAAAGTGCAAAGACTTTGATAAAATGCCTCATGAGGTTTTAGGGTTTAGAGATCCTATTTTGCCAAGTGAAGCAGAACGGAATGTTGGAGCTTGGATCCAGGAGCATTACGGCAGTCTATACGAGAATCTTTCTCCACATGGTATTCCTCCCAGTGCTGACTCTGTGGATACACCACAACCAGTAAATAGCCATACTTTGCAGCCTTCACCCCCACCTCATGCTGATGACCTGCACCGAATATCACAGACTATTCCCACCGGGCGGAAGAAGCCTCCTCCTCCTCCACCCAAACGCTCAGACTCCACTCACCTCAGCACACGGCAATGACGACTGCGTCATTAGTGGCCACTTGTCTTGTTACACGTGTTACCCCCACTTGCACCTGAAAGGAGGCTGAATGTTATTATATATTTAAGATTGTTACTTAATGAATGTTGCCATTGTTCATGGATTCCTTATGATATAGCAGGGCCACACAAAGGCGATGGATGGTATTTGCCAGTGCTTATGAAGTAGCAGTGTCAAAAGAGATGGCTTTCTCACCAACATTTCTGCAGGATGCCTCCAGTCTAACTGGAATAAGCACTTGCATGACTTAAGAAGTCAGTAGTGTATTTCCATTTGAATATGAATTTATATTTCTTAATGTCCTTATTGGTGTAAAGTACCTTTTAATCATTAAATTAAGGAAACTATTTGTTACATGTATTGTGGTGAGCTTGTTGGTGGTTTCTTCCAATGGTGCTACAACCAGGGCTGGTTATTGAACAGTAGTGGTATGGGACCCATGTGGGCCCACAGCTAGTTAGTGTTATTCTCGGCTAACTAGTATGGACACTTGAATGAACTGTGCAGTTATTTGGCTCTGCCAGGAAGTTGGCATGGGTTGCTGTACCTCAAGGCTTTGGAAATCTGCTCCTTCATAGTTATATGGCACAATTAATTATAGGCCAGCCATTTAGACCTGACAGTATCAACACAAATAGAGATTGAATTGAACTGATTTTGGAAATACAGTCACTGCTGCCACATGCATGTTAGACTGTATTATGAACTAGCAGCAAGTAGTTAATGTTTGATAACTGGTGATTGCATGTCACTTTCTATAATAGAAAACTGACAGCATTGGATACTTGATTGTATTCATTTTATGTTCTGACCAGTTAGTTATGAAACCAAATGTGTAAAGGTGTATATTGTACATTGGATAAGTTTTTTGTATTTTTTGTAAAGATGTTAAGCTGACCCTGAGTGTACACAGGAGTGTGGGCTGAGGTCAGGGGTTTTTTACCATTTTTACTGTAACAATTTATTTTTTATGGTTTAATGTGTTTGATAATGTGCATAAAAATGATCTTGCTTTTCTTTGACTGTTTTCTGTCCATGATGCTTCTATGTGCAATTATGAGTCTTGTAAAAAGTAAACAATTGGGCGAATGAATGTTTTTCTATGTATTGAGCTAATAGTACATGTAACTGCCTGCCAGATTTATTTTGTGTATGATAGTTCCATCCAGTTTCAAATTTCTTACTACTTAAGGGTCTCCTCTGCTTTAAAAGATAATTTTATGGTCTAGTTTTGGAATTTCAAGTATGGAAATTATTTATGATCAAAATGAGATCTTTTAAGTTTAAAGGGACTTTGAAATGTTAGAAATCATCTTAAGAACATTTTTTTCTAATATCTACAAGAAATAATTTTCATTTTTATCATCCATTTGTTTACAAAATTCACAAGTACAGTACCTGTTAAGTACGCAGTGCATACCCTTGGGGAATAAGGCAGAGGATCCTACGGGTAATAGATTTTTTATAGTTTGTGTTGCATATTCATAAATTAATATGATTGGTCTCTGCCCCAGTAATTCTTCCTCTTTAACAACGCAATGACGATCACATAATTATAATATAGTGTTTTTGCATTTTACTGGTTTTTGATAATCTGAGAAATGTCATACAAAGTTTTTCTCAAAGTCTGTTAATTCTCATTAAAATAGTTTGTGAATTGGCATAAGATTGACAAGTGACATGTAATCAGGACTTGCAACCTTCCCTCTCCACCTCAATGAGAAAATATAAAATTAAAAAAAGAAACAAAACTAATCCTTGGGTTATTGTTAAGCTCATTAAGTTTTGTAAACCCTGAGTTCTTGGATTTCATCATGATTGGTTTATAGAAATTGTTGGGAGTAGAATGTACAATACTGCCTCTTGGTTGTATGTAGGGGTTCAGTTTCACTTTAGTATTCCTTGTCTTATCAAACTTTACTGCTGTACACTCCATAGGTTTAATGACCCAAAGAGTGTATATGAGTTTGTGTGGTAACCAATATCATATACAGTACTTCACTGAGTCCTTTTTTGTCATTGGCAACCACACCTCTTCCAGTTACTTGAATGGTCAAGGGGAGAGGTGTTTGGCTTCTTTAATACCACCGTTAGTTATGTACAATCTTGTTATAGAGAGAGAGAGAGATAGAGAGCAGTAAATCTAAAGTTATTGAGAGCAAGTGATAACCATACCATTGGGTTTATAGGAAGCCAAAATTTGTCACATAAATAGAAATTTCAGATAATAATTTGTGTTGACTCTTCACCTTGAGTTGAAACCCACTCAGTTCACATGATGTAATATCTTGGGTTAAGTGAAGAACGAGATATGGGTATATTCTTTAAGGCAAAAATGTCCCTGTACAGTGACTTAATTTATATATATATATATTGCTCTTTATTTTTAAAACATACTTACAACATGACACTGAAATAAAGTATAGGCAATGTTTCACAGAAATATGTTAAGTCTTGTAATAACTGGTAGAAAAGGGTCTTCACTGTACTGTACTGTATTAGATATGACTAATATTCTGTAATACATTTTTGCCTCCCATTCCCTCCCTTTTTTGTGACTGATGTATTGTCTTCACACACTTGATCTATGGAAGGTTCTGCATCTTTGGTGCATTGATGTACCATTTGACTCACAATGGTGGATCTCCATACAAACACAGTGCCCTCTCCTCCTCTATGGTCAGTCCTTTGTTCTTTTATATTAACATTTTTGTTCATTTGATATTATTTCTTCTTTGTAGTTTTTTATATTTATTATGCGGCATAATAAATGCCTTCAGACACCACCCTAGGTATATTAATGCCTTTTGTTGGCCCCAACCTTGTCCACAAAATCCCTTGGTGCCTGACCCTTGTAAATTCCCTGATCCGCCACCTTAACCCCGAGCGTGAAGTACGTTGCATCTTACTCCATCCCGCCTTGAATTGCACTGGCAGCCTATTTATTCTTATATAAACACTACTGATATAATACACTCAAGTTTGTTTGATTCCCTACCATTTATTGTAGCCATAATGCAACATAGCCTTGGAGTGTTTATTACTTGCCAGCTATAGAGCCACAAATAGAATATTGTACTGAACTGTCCATCACTTTGTGTGTTTGGTCTCCTAGTCTCGTCCTTGTGATCTCCCAGGTGTGTCAGTCTCCCCTCACCTTATGCTACCTATCTTAATTTGTACCAGACTCACATGGAATAATTAAATTTCTTATTTCTGTCTTACCTGGTCTCTTACAATCTGCCCTGGTTACATGTTGTTTCCAGTGGATCTCTCCTTGGTAACTGGTTTGAGGATGTGTGTCCAGAATCCAGTGGCCTTGTGCCAACTTCCACATTGTACAGAAATTATATATACACAGTAATAATAAAAATATCTCCATTAAAAGATTACTTGTTTGTTTTACATACAAATATAGAAAAACTCAATTATTAGGTTTAAAATTTTGAAAGAAAGTGAAAGCCCCTCTAGTGTTGCGTTGAAAGTTTATTAATAAAACGTATTAAAAATTGCTATAAAGATATCTTGCATCTCCTTCATACAGGGTAATGTGTCAGCTGGAAGTCATGTGATCTTGTCCCACACTTCCAGAAGCAGCAAATGGAGTGATTTAATTTTTTGGAGGTATGAAATGAAAAGACATTATAAACAATATTTAAAAAAGAAAAACAATTGATAAAGATATCATTCTAATCTGATATTCTGCCAGTGCAGGATTTAGTCATAAAAGGAAGTTGCAACCCAAGGCCTCCTCTCAATAAAAAGAACGAATTTATGTTTTACATAACTAATTAAAAAATACAGTGGACATTTTTGTGCTAATGTGAAAAAAATATACTAATACTGTATGGCCTCATGAATAGTTATCATTAACTTTATAAGTATTGTACCAGAAAACATAATACTGTACAGTACTGTACTGTATATATTTAAATATAAATAAAATCTACAGTACAGTACTGTATTAGGTGTATTTTTGATGTCAAACTACATTTTGGGGGGAAAGTGAAAACTAATGTACAGTATTTAAATAGTAAAGATAGTCAATATTTTCAAGAAAGTGTGTATAAAGTAATTTAAAATAGATGGGCACATCATTATTGACTTTTTAAATATTCTAAATATTTTTAATTATTTCAAAGATCATTAATTAACAAATTACTCGAATTTTTAAACCATGAACACATATCGTTAAGAGCTCCATACTACAACTAATATAAAAAATAATTATAATTATCTTAACTTCTATTAATATAGTCGCTGTCACATGACCTGGTATTGTTAACACAACAACAACAACATCAGATGTCAAAATAAACAGCCAGACATTTACTGTAATACCCTTTATAATGAACGGCCCATGAAGTTGACATTGTAGTGACTACAACCTGTAAAAGCCCATCCACACGATCGAGCAGTGCCCGGCGGGCACGCGCTAAATGCCCGTTATCGGGCAAAATTGGCGGGCAAACCAGCGTAGTGCCCATGCCCGTCTTTGAGCGAAATCATGGTCCACCTGCCTGGTGGTTTGCTGCCGGATGTGGAGCGACGACTCTGCCAGACAAACGAGTTGACCCTGGGACCCCTTCACAAATATTAATATGTTTTAATATCATTTTCATTATTAATAATCGATAAAACCGGAAAACCGACATTCCTATAATATTGTCATTAATATTCAACATTACACAAGCCTGCAATACAAGACACGTGTTATTATTGGAACCTCAGGTGTTTGTCAAAAACAGCTGATCACTACGCCACCGCTGACCTCGGGTCCTCAAGTCGGTGAGGTATGAACAGAGATACTGACAGAACGTATGCTAGTACTTTGTAAAACCTGAGTTAAGTACTGCAAATGTGATACGTATATGTTCCCCGCTCGGTCCAGATGTCCAGTGTATAACCAAATAAGCTTATGCAATGTACATTATTGGCGTGACAATAAACGGGAGATTGTTTATGTATTATGTAATGAGGACATTCGTGTGTGTTCTTCGTTCCTGCCGCTCTCCTCACTCTAGTCCCATAGCTTCCTGTCTATGCATATCATAATTCTAACATTATTCAATGAATTTTTATGTACTACAAATCTCACCTGCAAGTAATCTTCCTTGAGTACTTCATACATGGCTTGACAAGTTGCAGGTATTATGCGAGACAAACTTTGTTTTGATATCCTCGTTCTATACTGAAGTGACGTGTAGGTGCACCCAGTTGAAAGATATATGAGCGTTGCCTCTAGACGAGCCTCTGCAGATATACTCTCCCTCATATTGGTATCCTGTTTTTTTTTATATGGTTCCACTTTCGCTAGAAGTTTGTAAAAGGTGTTGGGGTCCATTCTCATGTAATTGGTGAAGTCTTGCTCATGTCCATCTTGCAGTTCACGTAAAATCGTGGCATGACTTCCCAATACTTTTCTTCGACCTAACCACTCTTTGCACCATTCCCTTTTCTGCATTTGGTTCTTCTTTTTGCACATAGCAGCAATTATTATAGTACACAACGCTATGCTCTTCGCTTTAACTGTCCGGCGATTATTCCTGCGACACACCATGGTGATCGTACCGCACCCGCCACTGCCGACCACCTAGTAGATACCGGCTCCCGACTATGACTGCCGCCAACCACCACTAGCTACAGGCGCCCGACTATGACTGCCGCCAACCACCACTAGCTACAGGCGCCCGACTATGACTGCCGCCAACCACCCCCGCCTGCCGGGCACTGCTCGATCGTGTGGACGGGGCTTAAGAATATTCATCCATTCACAAGTTGTTTCATTAAGGACATGTTAATAATGGCCAAAATATACACCGTCCCAAGTTACCAACACCTGTTGCTGTCGTCAGCTTAAAGGGAGTAATGGAAGATGTTCAATGCTCCTGAAAACAGTGGTAATGAGTTATATTCCAAGACTTCTAAGGGTTTTGTGTGTTAGAATCAATTACAATATATTTGTTGATGATGGGTGAACACTGGAACGATGTAGTTGTGTTTACGTCAATGTGATGGACGATGGCAGACGCCATCACCTGGGAGACTTGAACCAACAGGTTAGTGAAAGTTTACTTAGTTTATGGTAAGGTGTTGTGATAGACAACTGTGTGGCTGATGACCACGCCTTATTTAGTTAATGGCCACCAACTAGAGGTGGCCATGCCGAGGGAAGGAGCCCAGTGGCATGTGTAGGATCCCTCCATCGTTCTTGATAGTTTTTTCAAAGGCTATTTTGCAGACCAGTACAGTACTGTTCTCTACACCACAGCTTGGGCTGGTAGACCGTTCCATAGGTCTACCACCACCACAGCTGGGCTGGTAGACCGTTCCATAGGTCTACCACAGCTGGGCTGGTAGACCGTTCCATAGGTCTACCACCACCACAGCTTGGGCTGGTAGACCGTTCCATAGATCTACCACCACCACCACCACAGCTTGGGCTGGTAGACCGTTCCATAGGTCTACCACCACCACAGCTTGGGCTGGTAGACCGTTCCATAGGTCTACCACCACCACCACCACAGCCTGGGCTGGTAGACCATTCCATAGGTCTACCACCACCACCACCACAGCTGGGCTGGTAGACCGTTCCATAGGTCTACCACCACTATTGTTTGGGCCAGACCGTTCCATAGGTCTACACCACCACAGCTGGGCTGGTAGACCGTTCCATAGGTCTACCACCACCACAGCTTGGGCTGGTAGACCGTTCCATAGGTCTACCACCACCACCACCACAGCTTGGGCTGGTAGTCCGTTCCATAGGTCTACCACCACCACCACCACAGCTGGGCTGGTAGACCATTCCATAGGTCTACCACCACCACCACCACAGCTTGGGCTGGTAGACCGTTCCATAGGTCTACCACCACCACAGCTTGGGCTGGTAGACCATTCCATAGGTCTACCACCACCAGAGCTGGGCTGGTAGACCATTCCATAGGTCTACCACCACCACCACCACAGCATGGGCTGGTAGACCGTTCCATAGGTCTACCACCACCACCACCACAGCTTGGGCTGGTAGACCGTTCCATAGGTCTACCACCACCACCACCACAGCTTGGGCTGGTAGACCGTTCCATAGGTCTACCACCAACACAGCTTGGGCTGGTAGACCGTTCCATAGGTCTACCACCACCACAGCTTGGGCTGGTAGACCGTTCCATAGGTCTACCACCACCACCACCACAGCTGGGCTGGTAGACCGTTCCATAGGTCTACCACCACCACAGCTTGGCTGGTAGAGCCTACGAAAAGTAAAACGAGAACTTTTCTTCCCCTTTTTCTACAGGTTATTATTAAATTGATACTGAGGTACTTTTTTTCCATTTATTTATTACTTAATCCTATTAGTGTCCACCAGCTAGCTGTGCTTCTTGTAAACAAAACTATTTCTGTACTGTACAAGCTAACCCATTTTCTTTTACTCAATTCATGGCAAACATCACTGAATCTTATTCTTTCGACATCACATTTTATTATTAGGTACTAGCTTGTGTTATTAGTGAATATGCTGTCAAATGGGGCCCCATGTCCTGGAGGTGCCTAAGGCCTACCAAAGTCTTAACCCGGCCCCGGCTGTAAGGCCTATGGTCCCTACTTTGCAGCTTAAACAAATACATTAATATGTTTTAGTATTGTATTAAGTGTTTCTCTAACGTCTAACAGTAATGTCTTAATGTTTTAGTCAAATATACCACCAAATGAGCCATACACACGAGCCTAAACTATAAGATGGTGGCGTAAACCGTACATCAGTATTAATGTAATAATTAACCAGTAAGCGAGTACAAAGACCAGATTGGATTATATTACTGTATTTATTTTTTAATTTAACTATAGATTATTAATGAACTTAACTATTTAATTTTATATATCTTATCCCTCAGACTCCAAGACTGACTGTATCCGATGCGCTGATTGGCTCAATAATGGGAGAGAAGCGCGGTGATTGATCCACTGATGTTTTGCTGGGAGAGAAGGGCGGTGATTGGTCCACTGTATGTTTTGCTGTGAGAGAAGCGCGGTGATTGGTCCACTGTGTTATGCTGGGACTTAATGGCGAGTTTAAACGCTGGTGAACTTAGTCTCCGTTAACAATGTATTTTAACCTGTAAATTACCTCCTCTGATGTGAAAAAAAAGGTAAGAAAATGATCATAATGCGTTATATTAATAGTAGTGTTAATATTTTATGGTAATAATATATAATAAGACTAAATAACACCATTTACTGTTCCTTCCCTGTCTGTGTATTTTAATGGGGATTTTATTGAATGAATATCTATCTATCTGTCTATTAATTATATCTATCTGTCTATATATTTAATCAATATTGTGTAGATCTGGATAATTGTTAATGATTTAATACTATTAGAAGGAACCACTTTAGGATAATATGGTATATTTGTATTGTCACACTGTTCTATGTTAGAAAGACAATAATATATTTTTTTAGTGTATTTGTGTGTGTTTAGACCGAATACATAATAAAACACTAGAAAAACAACAACCAAACCTAATGTAACCTAACCTAACCTTAGTTGAGACCCAAAATCAAACTCGAATTTGATTGGGCCAAATATACCGCGATTTAAACCCAAAATCATTTTAATTGGTTGCAAAGACAAAAACGCTTTTCATTGGCCGTGTGACGCGTACAGAAATGCGTGGTCGTGATGATTTACGAAGGAGACGCGGGAGACACGTAGCGTTGGGGGAGAGAGAGACGATAATGGTGGAAGAATAATGGAAGAAAATAGAGAACATTTTGGATAAGCTATCTCCTTTATTATACATTTCCGCCGGTAATGTAATAGGTGAAAATTATCTTATAATTAGACGTCTTATTCGAATATGATAATAGGTTAGTGGTAGGAATGAACGCAGTAATACCAAAAATAGTCTAAAGAAGCTTTGTTTCTTGCCTCCACTATAAATAAAACGGTGAATTTATAGTATCACGCTGGTCTTTATTTCAATATGAAAAATAGGTTTTTCCTATGTATTTTGACGCATTTCAAACGAATTTGATATTCATTTACACCGAAAGTCACATGTTTTTTTTAGATACACCCCTCCAACCCAACAATCTTAATGGAAAACGTTGGAATTTTTTTTTAGAATAAATAACATAAATTATATTACCAACGAACCAAGAAAACCCAACCAAACCAAACCAGGCGGCTCTGCCCCCACATCTTACCCTAATCAGTAAATGAATCCAATGATGCCTTACAATCACTAACGGAAAAGTTGTACTTTTTCCATTTTTGGTTCACCTGAAGAATCATCGCCCCAGCTTATTTCACCTAACGATTAAATCACCCTAAAACTATTTTGGGAGGATGAGGTTAGGTTAGGATATGTTAGGTTAGATGTAGGTTAGGGTAGAATAGGTTTAGGTTAGGTTAGGTTAGGTTAGGATAGGATAGGATAGGATAGGATAGGATAGGATATGTTAGGTTAGATGTAGGTTAGGGTAGAATAGGTTTAGGTTAGGTTAAGTTAGCATTAAGGTAGTTAATCTTCAGGTGAAATAAGCTGGTGCGATGATTCTTCAGGTGATCCCCATCTTTTACTTTTTGGCAGAAGAAAATTACTGTGGTACCGCCAAATGTGTTGTTCTTCGCGCAGTATACACTGGTTATTACACTTTAGACATAGAACTATACTCTGTAATACACCGTGTTATATGAGAAAAAAAAATTGCCTCACTATTTTTCTGGTGAGACTCGGCAATTGTCCCAAAATAATCATTCACAATTTCTGCACAGCTCTTCCACCGCTTCATCCATATTTCCTACAAAAAATTCAAATCTTATCTCCAAACCCACCCACTCATTGTTCATTGAATAAAACAAAAACAAAAAATCTTGCCCAATAAAAATACTCCTTTTGCTATCGTCCCCCCGCACATGCGTTCTAGATGCTTAAAGAGCGAAGACAGGCCTGGAGCGATGCGTGCGCAGGGAGTCAGACCACCTCCGATATAAGTAAACAAATCATGGCGACACTTGTGACTGAGCGAAAGTAATAATCTTGAAAAATTAATATCCCGGTTATCCTTAATTTCCGGTGGAAATATAATAGAAGAAAAATGTCTTAGAATTGTGTAAACACTACAAAATACATATTAATAACAGCGAGAGAAAGACTGGTGTAAGACTATAAATTCACCAATAAAACATTGGAGGAATTTAATTTTCTTAATTTTGTTTGCTTTAACTTTCCTACTTTTGTTTGTTTTATGATTGTTTGGTAAATTTTTACTTATGCAGCAGTCTTTGTTTGGATATTAAAAATATGTTTCTCCGTTGATATTTGACGAGTTTCGAACTCATTTGATATTCAATTCTGCCGGAAATCACTAGTTTAGAGATCCCCCCCCCACCCAAACAATAATAGGGGGAGAGCCTGGAAAATTGGGGTTTTTGGGTGGGGAAGAAAACGAGTCATTTAACAAAACCTAACCTAATCCCTAGTCAGGGGCTCTGTCCCCGGACCCCCAGTAGGCCCTGCTTTTGGGTGGGGGAGAAAACGAATCATCTAACCTAACAAAACCTAACCAGGGTTGCAACCCTTCCGTTTCTGTTTGGCTGAAGAAAACTGGTGACACCGTCAAATGTGTTGTTCTTCACACAGTGTACACTGATTATTGCAAACAAGCCGTGTTTTCTTAAAAAAAAAAAAAAATACTGCCTCACTATTTTTCTGATGAAAATCAGCAATTGACGTAAAATAATCTCTCTCACAATGTCGGCGCAGCTCTTCCTCCTGTTCAGCCATATTTGGTACTGAAAATTAAGATCTCCGCTCCCGACGCACCCACGCATTGTTCATTAGCTAAGACAAAAACTGTTGCCCAATAATAAGTCTCCTATCACTATAACCAATAAGGTACCCCTGCACACATGTGTTGTAGACTCTTAAGAAATAAGTAAACACGACGGCAACACTTGTGACTGAGCGAAAGTAATAATATTGAAAAATTAATATCTCGGTTTTCCTTAATTTCCGGTGGAAATATAATAAAAGACAACACGAAGTTCCCAAGCGCTTTCGTGTAATTCACATCTTCAGGGGTGAGTACAGACTAAGGAGAAGTACAAAACAAGGTGTATATATACAGAGGAGGGTGAGACCAGGTCCACAATGGTCAGGTATTAGGTAATGACCCTACTAATCTTTAAAAAGCACCGCAACGGCCGGTAGTCAGGTCAGAGGGTAAGGTGACCCAACCTTCTCACCTGGTTACAAATCTTCTTAATTACAAAATTGTCCAGTTTGTACATGCCATTACTCAAATTCATGTTGACTGCTTCGTTATGTTTAATGAGACTGGATTCTATAATGTTCCTACTGTCAATTGAATTACAAGGTAATATTGAGGAGGCATTATCCCAGTCAATGCAATGTTTATTATCCCTCAGATGAACAAACAGAGCATTGGATTCCTGGCCTGTCCTAACACTATATTTATGTTGTTTAAGTCTAGTTACAAGATCTTTACCTGTCTGGCCTAAGTAAAACATATTACATTCCTTGCAAGGAACTTTATAAATGCAACCAATTGTGTTTTTGGGGGAGTTCTTGATTAACATTTGTTTAACAGTGCATGAGTTTTTAAATGCCACATTGACGTTCCAGGTTTTTAGTTGTAAAGGAATTTGAGAGAAATTTTTGTGAAATGGTAATACTAAGAGATTCTTATGGTCATGGGTGGGCTTGGGATGAGTTCTATAAAAAGATTTCTTAGTAATGTTCAGGCATTTGTCTATGAAAGATCTAGGGTATTTAAGGTTTGAGCCAATATTATAGATATATTCCTCATCAATGAACTCCAGGCTGCAAATTCTCAAAGCACGTAAAAACATTGTTGAAAATACTGACTGTTTGACTCTATTATGGTGGGCAGAATAATAATGAATGTATGAACACACATTAGTAGATTTTCTATAAATACTGAACCTTCTACATACACACCTCAAAGTAAGTGTACTTTACTGTATTTTTTTTTTTACTTTGTATGTAATTTTCAGTGAGCTGCAACCAATTACCCAAAATCCCATTGAAACAATGGTTTTGGTTAATGAAAATTTTGGTTAACGAACAACCTTCTGGAACGAATTATGTTCGTTAACCGAGGGACTACGGTAGTTCACAACTATGTTAGAAAGTTAAAACTATGTTTTTCTAGAGTGTTTTTGTGTGTTTTGATTGGTTGATTTCCGTTGGAAATTGCCAGTTTTTTTAGTTATCGTCCCCTTTTTGCCCCCAACAACAAGAAGATAGGAGATCCCGTTGGGAAGCGGGGTTTTGGGTGTGGGAGAGAAACGAGTGTTTTCTGACAAAATTCGTGGCCAAGTGAAAACAAAACACACCAAAAAAACACTAGAAAAACATATAAACCTAACCTCATTTTAGATGACCCAACCTAACTCACAGTGTCTTTACGTAACCAGACTCACCATATGAGGGAATCACATTGTAGACTTCCATGGTCGGAAATGAATTTGAATTTCGAAGCATGAGAGATCCCAAATCCCAATCGAATCTGATTGGGCAAAAAATACGGCGAATTCTAAAAGCAGAAACCACAATTCATCTTAAATGGTGGCCCCAAAAAAGAAGGCTATTGATTGGCTGCGTGACGTGTACGGGAACGCATGCGCCTGATGATTTATGAAGGGAAGATTAATGGAATTGAATAGAGAAAGATTTGGCATGTGCCATCTCCGTTATTATGCATTTGCGACAGTAATGTAATAGAAAAGAATTATCTTAAAATTAGATGTCTTTTTCGAATATGATAATAGATTTGGGGTAAAAATGTTTTGTGAATAACTGCATCTCCACTTCCTATGTACAGTACTGAACTATACTGTGCTGTACATTTTTACAAACAATAAACATGGCAAGAAAAGCTATTAAAAAAAAGAGATAAAAACTTCACTTTACTGTACAGTTCCTATCCTCGGCGACAGGACGGGGGTCATCGTCACTCAATTCCATAACGGGTGGTGAAGTGGGGGCGACGGTGGATTCAGCTGCTTCCTCACTGCCGCCAGTGATTGGTGTTAAATCTCTCCTTCGGTGATCAAAGAACATGGTGATGGGGAGTTGTCGTCTCTTTCATTCATTTC